AGCTCCAGCCAATGGACCAGTGGATGGAAGACCTCTCTCTCTGTCTCTACCTCTCTCTCTAACTTTTTCAAATAAATAAAATAAATCTTTAAAAAAAAAAAAAGAAAAAGATAGGGCCCTGAGAATCCAGGATGGTCATCCCACATTTATGTCCTTAACCTAATCACTCACGCAAAGTCCATCTTGCCACATAAGGCAATGTATTCACTAGTTCCAAGAATTCGGACACTGGGCATCTTTGGGGTGGTTATTGTCATACTGCAAACTACAAGCTCTCATGATGCCATGGACGGTTTTTATCATCAAGGTTATAGAAGGCTAGAAATGGGCAATTTGGCAGTAAAGGTATCTTTGTGAGAATGACCTGAAACCTGGTAGAAACAAGAACACTAAGAAACAAAGCTAAAATAAAAATTTTAAAACAGTCTTTCAATTAAGTACAGTAATTTTGAACTATTTGGAGGAGGATAGTCACAACCTTGAGCTTCCTTGCAAGTCTTCCTTTTATTTGATGAATTTGCATGACCAAAGAAAAGTTCTCACTGTTAAGGAACTCAAGGACATGTGTGGACCATATGCAAAGGCACTTCAAAAATTCCTGGAAAGTAAAATTAAAAGTTTATTTTGATAGAAAAAAAATTGAAAACTATGCCAAATTCTTTTCTTTCTTTTTTTTTTTTTTTTCTTTTGGACAGGAAAAGTTAGACAGTGAGAGAGAGAGACAGAGAGAAAAGTCTTCCTTCCATTATGTTCACCCCCCAAATGGCCACTATGGCCACGTGGATCCGAAGCCAGGAGCCAGGTGCTTCCTCCTGGTCTCCCATGCGGGTGCCAGGCCCAAGCACTTGGGCCATCCTTCACTGCACTCCCGGGCCACGGCAGAGAGCTGGACTGGAAGAGGGGCAACCGGACAACCGGAACAGAACCGGCGCCCCAACTGGGAGTACCGGCGTTGCAGGCGGAGGATTAGCCTAGTGAGCCCTGGCGCTGGCTGCCAAATTGTTTTCATAATATACATTTCCTATAAATTTTTTGAAGTACTCTTGCATTGGAAACATTTCTATACTGGAGAATTAATGCTGAAACTCTTCCATTAAACTCTGCTTCTCACCCCTCTACTGAAAATCCAGATGAAGGCAGTCTCAGCCCAGCTCTGCAGAACTCTCAGTATTTCTACCTTGATTGCTCCTCACTCTCAGTGTCTGGCTATACCAAAATGAAATATCACATTTTACTAAGCGGGAGATATTCCTCAATGATAGTGAAACACATGCAGAATTAAATTACAATATGAGATTATTAGTAATACTATTATAGTAGAGTGCATCAAGACAGACACAGGTTTTTCAGAGCTATTTGAATTTTGCTGTTAGCACCAATTTAATTTTAGCACTGAGCAAATAGATTTTATAAAATGAGCCAAATCAATCTTAAAAGATAGAAATATTTAACTGATACAAAAAAATTAATGCTGCCCCAAGGAAAATTATTTTTCAATTATTATAGCAGTCTGTGTTAATATATTTAAAGAAACTTTTAAAAGCTATAGAGTAAAAATTATGATAATTAGAATGATATGGCATGGAATATGGAACAAACTTGTCCCCATATGCTGGATATTTACAGAATTATTGAAGGTTTGGAGATCTGCCACTGAAGTCCTCACAAAGGATCTTACAGATTTCTGAGAGTGCTCGGGTGGTTCATATCCCAATTTTACCTCTCAGACATCACTGAATCCCTCTATACCTCAATTTCTTTAAATTGTTAAAATTTGGATCAATGAAAGTTAAACTTTGTAATAAGATATGTAAGATGTTTGATACATAGTAAATGTTCAATAAATTTTAGCTTTATTCACTATTGCTCCAAAACAATAAAACACCCCAGAACAATAAAACATCTGCACTCACATTCAAATACCTTGATTTAAAATATTGATCGTTGTCTTCCTATTGAAAGCCATTCATGCTACTTGAGAATTCCCTCTCACCCCTTCTTGTCTACTCAAGTTTCCTGTCTTCTGACCAACATATCCAGCTGCTCCCTCCTACTGGATCATTCCCTGTAGGAACACAGACATCCGGGTATTTCTGTCATCTGACAAATAGAACTCCTTTCACTCCCAGTTCCTTGCTAGGAGCCTCCCCATTCTGTTGTCATGTATGTCTTTGTTTATTTGCTCCCCTTTGAAGGAACACTCCTCAGAGCTTCTGGTTCCGGTTCTCTCACAGCTGTTTAAGCCTGCTTTGCATTGGCATTTTCCCTTTCTGTTTCAATAAAAATACTCTTGTTCATGTCACCAATGACTTCCATGTTGCTAAACGCAGTAGTCAATTCCAGTCCTCATCTTACGTGACTTATTAGCAACACTTGATGTATGTACTTTAAGAAGTGGTTTTCTCCTCCTTCCTTGCCTTCTCTCTCTGGACATCCTCAGTGTATTCTAATTCTTCTGGCCCTCTTAAGCTTGGAACATGTACGATGCTCAGTCCTTTGTTCCTGCTTTTACTTATCCTCACTCCTTTGGTGGTCTCATCCACTCTTTTGCTTAACGGCTCATTTATTTATTGAAGGTTATCTTATAGCTCTCTAGAACCCAAACCTGCATTTTAAATCAGTCAACTATGCTGACCTAGTTTCATAACTGGAATATCTCAATGATTTTTCATATTTAGCATCCTCAAAATGTAACTCCTGACCTTTGTTCTTCCATCTACCGCACACCACTCAGTGACAACACCACCCTTGTAGTTGTTCAGGCCAAAATCTGTGGGGGTGTCCTTGACTCTTCCTCTCAGCTCACACTCCCATGTATTTAGATTCAGGGATGCCTGAGGAACTGATCCTCCCTGTGATACTTCTTGCAAGAAGAACTCAAGAAACTCAAAAGGTAGACCTATACTCAGCCAACTAAACTGACCAGGGAGCAGAGTAAGCATCAATATGTCCTTTATTATTGAGACTGGTACTAGTAGGAGAATAGCTTCTCTAGATTGTGAATGGACTCTTGATCACATACTCCTTCCGGCTATCTAACCAGCTAACCACGAGCTGAAGGAGTGGTCCTGTCTACCCAGTGTCATCCATCAGTGCCACACACACCTCAAGTGTGCAGTGATTTGTGGACATTAGAGGTAATTTGGGAGTCATGAGACACCTGCTCTGTTGGTGCTGTACCTGCTGTTTTGTTGTAAGTCCTGAATCTGTTCTTAATGCCCAGTAGTATACGGGGTTTTGAGCGAAGCTGTGGTGGCTCATGAGTATGGCTGTCAGTCTGAACCTAAGATCACTGCTGCTAATATAAGGGTAGTTTAAAACGTAAGTTTATTTTGGTGCAAAGACAATGGATTTATAATCTAGTTCCTTTTAACAAGTGGCTAGCTGCATAAATAAGAGATTTCTAGTCATGTACATTTGGGCTTTTGTATAATTTTAAGATACCGTAGATAAATGTTGGTTCATAAGAAAACTTCACCTACTTTAAAATATCTTCACATCCCCATACTTTTGCTTCTGCTATTTATTTTCCCAGGAATACTCATCCCTTGTTTGTCACCTCTTGCAAACTCCTGCTTGTCCTCCAAAATCTCTTCGCTTTTCTTGGCAGTGTCTTCCTGCCACAGATCCTCCCCCTTAAGGTTAATTGATTAACTACTTCCTCCTCTGTGTTCCCCAAGCATTTATCATAGGGTGTGGATGTTGTTTATTTCCCTGTCCTTGAGTTTCAAGGGCATCTTCATCATCTTTGTTTCTATAGTGACTGGCATGGTCCCTGTTTCATCATACCCATTCAATAAATGTTTATTGAATGAAAACATTAGAATGTATCTAATTACTTGGCCATAGAGCAACTAAATAAGGACTTTTTATATACAAGGCATGTGTTACGTGTTGTAAAGATACTGAAAAAATAAGACACTTGCGTTCTTAAAACTCTACCGTGTGGGAATAGCATTGTGGCACAGTGGGTTGAACTGCCACCTGTGACACCAGCATCCCTTATGAATGAGGGTTCAAGTCTCAGCTGCTTGACTTCCAATCCAGCTCCCTGCTAATGTGCCTGGGAAGATGGTGGAAGATGACAAGTATTGGGGCCCTGCCTCCCATGTGGGAAACCCAGATGGAGTCCCTGGTTGGACCAATCCCAGCTGCTTTGGACATTTGGAGAGTGAACCAGTGACTGGATGATCTCTCTGTCTCTGTCTCTGTCTCTTCCTCTCTAACTGCCTTCACAATAAATCTTTAAAAGAACCCAAACCTCTACAGTGGTATAATCAGGAAAAATATATCATAGATAAAAATAACTATAATACATGGTAGAAAAATGTTATTTTCTAAGAGGTGGTGAGATGACTTCCTGTTAGGGTTCAAAAATATCTTCCTAATGGTTAAGGAAATGTTTTTCCTTTATTAACTGGCTAAAAAAAAAAGTGATCCAAAACAATAATTTCTTTGATGTCTAAGATATTAGATCAAATTTTTAGATCTAAAGATATGCCCCTCTTTTCACTTTACTGTGATGGACTCTCGTGGGCTATTGGATTAAAGTACTGCTCAGGGGTTTTGCTGCTACTTGCTGCGCATTCTATATTTAAAGTAGAAAAGGAAAGATTCTTCTGGTGCCTTAAGGTATGAATTTTATGCATTCCCTAGTTTTTAGAAGTCACCCTAACTGATGAGTCTGTCACATGCTGCTACAAGTTCATTCTCAATTGCCATTAGGAAATTGGCTGTAGAAAGCTTTTTACAAAAGATAACAATAATGTCATTGAAAGAATAATTCAAACAAGATTTTACTTTAAGTTTTTTTTCTTAAATTGGTGAGCATTGTTGAACTGCTTAGCATTTAATTGTATTTAAGGTAATAGTTTTTTTTTTTTTTTTAAATATACAGTAGTAGATCGATTCTTTCCACATCAAGGGAGAAGCTGTCAATTATTTGAATGATTATGGATTTTTTCTGCTGGTCACTGAGAACTTTTTCTGTTTTCATTTAGACTTGGATTATCACTTGCATTTATCTTCAACTGCTCCTATTTAATCCTCTTGTCAAAACGAAAGGGATCTGCGGGAATCTTGTGACTGATAATGTAAAAGACATCACAAAATTGGTAAGTAAGGAGTGCTTTACCTAAGCCATGATTCTTTTCTTTTACTTCTTTATCAAAGGTTTAGGTTTCTTCATGCCCCAAATTAGTATTATTCTAAGATGAAGAAAGGAACTGTCAAGTTCCTCTCCAGGACTTGCAGAGAGCAGACAGGGAAACAGTTCTTCTTCAGGGCATGGAGAAAATGTTTGAAACATCAGCCTGCTGTATACCACCACAGTGCTTTTGTTCCTTTGCTGGTCTTTTCCCCTCATTTGCAGGCCGAGATGGAGCCTGGTAAGGTCATTGTGTGCAGACGGGTACTCCATTGTTCCGCAGTCTCTGCGTTGGGTTCCCCAGCTTGTCCTGTGTCCCCTCCATGGGCCTGCCTTCTCTTCTCTAGCAAGCCCACCAGAGGAGATCTGAGAAGGCTGTTCTCCCCTGCCCATCAGCAGCAAGTGCAAGGGTGTATGCTCCCTCAATGAACATGGTTGGGGGAGCAATTTGTTAGCCAAATGTTGAGCAGACTCATCTCCCACTTTTCTACATTGGCCCTCTTCCCTCAGCAAAGGGCATTTTACAGTGCTGCCCCTTAATCACTGCCACTCGTGCACTGCTTTTCCCAATGCTTCTCCTGAGGCAAACCACACAGATGGCATCAGAGGATGTTACTTCAAAAGGTTGGTAAAAAAAAAAATAGAATTAAAAGACATTTTTTTAGTGCAGGAAAAACTGAAATCCATGCATGCAAAGATTCTTGAAAAGTTTGCAAAAATGTTTATTATGGAAAAATTATATATGGATTTAAAAAATTTTTATACCAAAATAAATTTACCTTTTAATTCCATTTTCCATGAACTTTTTGAAGCACCTTCATACAATATTTGCAATGCATTTTCCAAACTCTCCTGATTGAGGGGACATTTTGTGTGCTCATTTGGACTACCCAATGTGATTTCAGGATGAATAAATTTTGAGAAGAATTCTTGTAATTTTATAGCTCAAAATAGCCACTTAGGTGGCTTTGCTTATTTCAGTATTGAGTAGAGAATGGAGCTGTTGCAAGGATGCGGAAGTACTGAGAGTTATAATATGGAGAAAAGAAAGGAAAGCCTACTTATTAAGATGATAGTGTATGGAACAGACATTTCTCAGAGGAAGACACGCAAATGGCCAACAGTGAAAAAATTGCTTAACACCATTAATCACCAGGGAAATGCAAGTCAAAATCACTGTGAGATTTTTACCTCACTGCAACTAGATTGTTATTATCAAAAAGACAAGAGATTATGAGAGCTAGTTCTCAGAAAAGAGAAACCTTACACATGGTTGGTCAGTTACTACTACAGCCATTATGAAAAAGAGTATAGGGATTCCTCATAAAATTTAAAATAGAATTACTACATGATCCAGTGATCCCACTGCTGGCAATACTGGATATATACCCAAGGGAAATGAGACCAGTCTGTCCAAGAGACATCTGTATTCCCGTGTTAATTGCAGCACTATTCAAAATAGTCAAGAAGTGGAAACAACCAGACTGTCCATCTACTGATGAATGGATAAACAGAATGTGGCATAAATATGCACAATGGAGTACTATTCAACCATAAAACAGGATGGACTCTTAACATTTACAGTAACATGCATGGAACTGGAGGTTATGTCGAGTGAAGTAAACCAAGCATAGAAAGACAAGTACTGAATAATCTCAATCAAATGTGAAATCTAAACTAGTTGATTTCATAGAAGTTAAGAGTATAGTGGTAGTTATCAGAGGCTGGGGAGAGTAGGCAGGCAATGGGGAGGGTTGGGGAAAGGTTATTTAATGGCTAATAAGTTATGATTAGATAGGAGTAAGAAGTCCTGGTGTCTTATTACATAGTAGGGTGACTATAGCTAATGATAATGTACTATCTAGTTCTCTTTAAAAAACTAGAAAAAAAGGATTTTGAATGTTTTTAACATAAAGAAATGTTAAATGTTTGAGGAAATAGGTTTGTTTACTTGATTGGACATTACATAATACATACATGTATTGAAAAATCACACAGTACCCTATAAATATGTACAATTTTTACATGTTGGGTACGAATTCTAAAGTTTCTATACATGAAGAAACAAGTATATACAGAGGCTGCTATGTTCTCCGCCTTTATTTTACACTTCCTGGGTTTATTATGGCTTCACAGCAGAGCTTCAAAACAGAAATTCAATGTTACAGAAGTTTCTAGCTTACGGTCAATGCAGAATTAAACCCGCACACATAAGCATGCACACACACATATCATGCTTTATGCAGATTCCTTGGAAGCACACCCAAGGAATGTAGGCTTCAAAGCAGCCTTGATGCCACAGCACAAGATGTATCAACCTGGCTTTTTGGGGGGACTGGTGAGGAAAGCTATGCAACATTTGCCTACTGTACACACAGCTAGGAGTTGTATATAGTAATGGGGGTGAGGGAGAAGTCTTCTTTTATATATATTTATTCTATTCACTTGAAAGGCAGAGTTAAGGGGTGCGATGTGTGTGGGGGGAGACAGAAAGAGAAGTTCTCCATCCACTGCTTCACTCCTCAGTTGGCTGCAATGGCCAGGGATGGGCCAGGGCAAAGTCAGGAGCCAGGAGCCTCCTGCGGGTCTCCCACATGGGTACAGGGGCCCAAGAACTTGGGCCATCCTCTGCTGCTCTCCCAGGTGCACGAGTAGGGAGCTGGATCAGAAGCAGTGCAACTGAGACTAGAACGTGTGCCCACATGAGATGCTGGCATCACAGGCAATGGCTCTACCTGCCATGCCACACTGCCATCCCTAGGAGAAGTCTTTTTTAAAAACATAGATCCTTTTTCTCAAGTGGCTTGTCACTTTATGACCCAAGAAACAATACTAAAAAGGTAATATGTGTTTATATTCTAAATTTTCTATGTATCAGTAGAAGGAGTTCATTGGACATTTGTTGGATGCATGAAGAAATGATGTGTTCCACTTTGGTGAGCATCACATCGCCTGTGTTCTTCACTGAACTTGCAGGTGCCAGGACTTTATTCCAAGAAACTGGTTTGATAAGTCAGTGCCTCAGTGTCCCTATCAGTGTAATATACAGGTCAGTAGTACCTAACCTTACAGAATGATTGGGAGGATTAAACAAGATGATAGCACAGTACTTGAAAAGATAGTAAATACCTTCTAAATCTTAGCTACTCATAGTGGTGATGTTTGCAGGCTCATAAAATACTGGAGCTTTAAGGGAAATTAAAAACAATCTCAACAAAACATTTTATCTATAAGGAAACTGTGACCCAGGAGGAGTGCCACTCAATTCCTGGTCCCATTAACCAGTGTTATGTCATTTAGGGCAGTGGTTTTCAAACGGCTTCTAGAGCCCACAGCCGCTTCACTTTATTTCAATATCCAGATTTGTTTCCAGATATGATGTGACTTGAAAACATATTGAGCTCATGAATATATCTTGAGGAACAGGCATTTGCCATAGGGTCTCAGATGTCATTTAAGAGACCATTTCCCATGTTGGGTACCCAACTTTGGTCCCTGAATCCAGCTTCCTGCTAATACAGATCTTGGCAGGCAGCAGTGATGGCACAGGTGGTTGGGTACTCATTGCAAAATAAGAAATCCAAAGTGAGTTCCTGATTCCCAGCTCCTACCTGGCCTAGTTTAGGCCATTGTAGACATTTGGGGAGTGAAACAGCGATGGGAGCTGTTCGGTCTCTGTCTCTCTCTTTGATTCCCAAAAAAGAAAACATTTAATTTTAAAAGGCAAAGAGAAAAAAATGCTTAAAAGCCATTGCTTTAAACCAGAGCTCTTAGAATATCATTTGAGCACCATCTGATGACAATCTTTGAGGATACTTATTCAAGGTACAAATGTAAGGGCGTCACTGCACAAATACTGTATTTCAACTTATGCAGTGGGGGTGTAGGGACCTTAATGTTTCTCACCAGCATCCCACGTGATGCTAATGTGTACAGAAGTACCAGACTGCTTGGCCATAATGTTTATAGTGTTATTTCTTCTATACTTAAGAAGAAACTAAGTATTCCAGTAATCAAACAGCAGCAAGGCTGACTGTTGAGTTTCATAGGTACAGATAATCACAGCCTTTCTATAAAGAAGAGTAGGAATGAGCATCTTGATGAAAATGCAGAAAATTGGACAGCTTGAATACTAGCTCCACTGTTACCTGGCAGTGTGATCTTGGAAAAAAATCACTGAAATTTTCTGTGGTTCCATATCCTAATCTTTAAAAGAAAAACATAGACATGACCAAAGCTTCTTAACTTGGATTCACATATTCCAAATGCTCACACTGGAACTCAGAATTGTGTCTGTACTGTATGTGTCTTTTGTCCATTTCTGGTGAGAGAGTATATAAGAAGTTTTCATCCCTTCCTGGAGAACTCAGTGACCCCAGAGAAGATAAGGACTAGGCAGAGGATTTTCGGAAGGCTTTTTCAGCTTATTTTATTCCATATTGTACCTTCTCTAGGCTGTACCTCTTGGTGTTAACTCAGTAATGCCTAGAGTAAAGGAGGTTCTATAGAGTGAGAGAAATGTGTTTTGTAAACGTAATCTTGGTGCATTTTATTTGAGGGAAAGAAAGTGAGCTGCCAGTACACTTTTGACTTTGCTTATAATAATTTCTTTAATCAAAATGCAAAATTCCCTTGCATTCTCTATCACTTTTGCCTTTGCATTAGGTGGCAACTTGCAACTTGCACTCTGCCCCAAAACCTTAACGTCGTTTGCTTGGGGTGATTCTCGTGTCACAGAACCACATGATTTATGGCTTCACGGTGTGTGTGTGTGTGTGTGTGTGTGTGTGTGTGTTTTTAATTTCTTCTTGGACACTTTGTACTGCTCCTACGGTCCCCATGGTTTTTATTTGAAATTCTTCTGGTATGTTTACCCTGCACAATCGTTCATCTATTTACAGAACATTTTGCTTTGTTTCTAAAAAATGTTGCAAGACTTGTTTTAAATGGCAAATTCCAACCTACCTA